TCTGCCCCGGCCCCGGCCCCGGCCGAGGGGGAGGCGGCTGGTGCCTGTCGGGGCCCCGGGCCCGCAGCTGCGCTCGCCCCTCTGCCGGGTCTGCCCCTCTGCTGTGCTCGGGGCTTGTGCTGGAGCCCCGCATAACCCGCCTGGGCCGTGCTGTCTGCTCGGTCCCGGATCCGGACTAGGCGCCTTAGTGTAGGAGCGGGAGGGTGGGACGCGGCTCTAGGGTTAGAAACAAGCGGAGTTTGCGCGGGGTGCTGCTCCCGCGTGTGTCAGTAGCGTGCCCGAGACGGGGAAGGCTCCCCCGTGTTAACTCTTCGCTGAGCGGCTTTCAGCCCTAAAGCCGGAGCCCGAGGATTACTGCAGTGGAACATCCCATCTCGGCTCACCCACGCCGAGGGGCAGCTAGGACACGCTCCTCGGGCAGGGCAGGCGGGGCTGCAGCCCGTCCTCGGTGCGGGGGGCTTCGGGACGCGGCTCGGGGTCCTGCTCTGGGTCTGCCTTCTCCAGCCCTTTCCTTTCTCCTTTTCTACTCCGACGAGGCGGGGCGCTTTGCATGCCTGCGAGGTGCAAATACTGACCGATGCCTTCGCTTGTCTAAAGAAAGCCCGCTCTGCTGCCTCCTGCCACAGCAGCAAAGCCCAGCTCCAAGCGCGCACAGCCTACCCCCGGGACCCGGGGCTCCCGGAGACAATAGGCGCCTGGAGGTGACCCCTATCGCCGCCCAGCGGGCAAGGGCGGCACTGCAGCTCCCCCGCCCCGCTCCCTGTCCGCCGCGGCTGGACCCTGATTAGGGAACGTCTCCGTGAAACATGTCTAGGGAGCAGACACCGCGCCACGAGCCTGCCGTGGGAACAGATGGCTGCTGTTCTTCGCGGCTCTGCTCTGTTCAAAACCACGTTGCTGCCGCGTCTGAACAAAACCCCAACCCCAAACATCAAGACTAAGCAAGGGAGATGGGGAAGCCAACATAGGTCAACAAGGAAATGGGTTGCGGTGGCCGAGGAGATGCAATAAAAACAGACTGAACGTTTGAGGCCGTTTAGGACTAGGGACTGGACAGCTCTGCCGGTGTCTCTAGGGCAGATCGGTAGCTGGCAATGCAAAAGTTTTTGCGCTAGCACTGAAAGGTCCCAAATGCCGATGGGGCAGGAGGCGGCTCGTCTATTTTGACGCCTGAAGAAAACCGCGAGAAACAGGCTCTGGGCTTAAAATGAAGTGAACCAAGATCAAGGCCCGGCCAGCGCTCCAGGAGACACCCCGGGAGTGCTGGGAACAAAGCCTCCAAGGAGGCTGGTCTGACACAAGGGCGGCGAGGTGAAGTGCACTGCGTTTGAAATCAGGCTTTCTTTAGAGCAGCTGCTCTTCGATTATATATATTGTAAAATGGGTATTTTAAAAATAACGAATTGGTGCAAAAATAAAGAAGGTATTGCCCCAAATGAAGGTCCCGCCCTGTACCTATGGATGGGGTATTTCAGGCTTACCTGTGAGCGATGTGTGGTCAGATGTCGAATTTAAGTCTCGAGTACAAGCCTCTGGTTAATGTCAAAGCCAGGAATTACACCTTGGGCTGCCTTATTTTTCTTTATATATATATATATATTTACAGGAGCCTCAGCTAAATGAGGGCTCCTGAAATGCCGTTTGAATCACGGCTTCCCTTTTTCACGCGCACAAAAATAATGTAATTAATAAGTATTGTGAGAATCGTGATACCCTCCATACGTTGTTTGGAAGCGGACAGATGTAAATGTTGGCATGGCTGGAATACTTTAGCAGAACAAATACTTTCGTCCTACATATCCTCCTCCACTGGATCAAATTGCTGATTTCTTTGCCAATGTAGTTAAATATTACTAGTCGATAACATTTCTAACCACACAACACAAGCTGTGCTATGGGCGGTTTTGACTTTTCAGTCATTTTAGGCGTATAAACAAAACAAAAACAATCTTAAATGAATTATTTATAAAGGATTTGGAATAATTGATTTATGTGGTGCTATCACTCAGACTCGGATTTTATGTGTTTTCCCCTGTGAAACCAATCTTCCTCCAACTTTTAATGCGGGTATTTCTTTAGGAAACCCAGCACAGCGGAATGCTGATGGCTTCACTCAGTAAAAATAATGCCCTGGATCTTTTTTTTTTTTTTAGTATAAACTTGACAAAGAATCCTAGCTAGTGTCATCACTGCCATCCAGTGACATTTTTTCGGCAGTTTATAGTAAATGCCAGTGGCTGTGTACAGAGGGGGAAAGTGACTGCTGCATCTCTGCACCTAGGATTAATTATCTCAGTAGCATTAGGCAGGAATTTTCATGCTTAAATAAACTATCATTAAAAGAATAGCGACCTTTTTCAGGCTGCTTCCTGCCTAACCCGGCAATCCATCAATAACTACAATGAGTCTCAGCTTGACCTATGGCAAGAGATTGTTACAGGGGGGTTTGCTGGGACGGGGAAGCCAAGGCAGGAGGATGCTTTCAGCTAAGCGTTAAGAGCCATCACAGCGAAGCCTTTTTGTGTTCCTACCAAAAGGAAGCTCTCTACAGACACCTGTCCGCAGAGGAGATTATCTCAGCCCTGACTCAGGTACTTTATTTACCCATTTCCTTTTTCCCTTTTTCCCCCTGTGGTTTTCTCCTGAACTATTGAACTATACCAGTTTTAGCGTGAATACCTCTCCTCTAGCGCATTATCTATTGCGATCACCGAGCATTACGCCTCTAAATATCTTGCCTGAGCTAATCCTGTTTTACCTCCCCCTATTATTTTTCCGTATCTCTTTCCATCTGCCCGGGCACAGCCGACACACACATGCCTCCTCAGCGGCCCCCGCCCCCGCACATCCCCCGGTTGCATTTTTGTCAATCCCGTCCATTCCAGTCTATCAGCTCGGCATTGTTTTTTTCTGGAGGAGGGGAGGGCAGATCATCGAGATGCTTGGATGTCATTTTTTAAAAGATATTTTCCTTTGCCCGCTTTACGGTTGTTTAATTAATGCAGCTGAAGGAAAGAAGGGAAAAAAAGCTCAGAGGCTTTTCGCTGCCATTTGATGACTTAAGAAATATATTCTTTTAGACTGACATGGCAGCGATGCCAGCCCGGTGTACCTCAGATTCATGGGGTCCTTACGATGGTAATTCGAAATAAAATGTAACTCAGAGAACTTTGAATCATTCATTAGCACCTTATAATTACTCTGCTAATTAGGTTGACACGGTACTTAATCAGGAGTAATACGACGTCTTGTCACTGGCAGTTCCCATTACTCTGACATTCAACAAGAGACAGGTTGGAGTCGTCCTAGAGAAATTAACACAAGTTGATACTCTCCAAAGAATCAGTGGAATAATTTCCTGCGGTCCCAGGCGGATCGGCAGTTACCATTCCCCTTCCGCTGAGCCGCTCAGACGAGGAGGACCCAGGACGGGAGCAGCGCGGGCTAATGACTCCAAGCAGAGCCCGGCACAAGGGAAGCCAGTCCCCAGCCTCGGCGGTCGCTTGCGCCTCTGGCTCCCTCGCCCGCCCGCCCGCCCGCCCGCCTGCCTGCCCACCT